ATTAATAATGGTATGTCGATGCGGTCAAATGCTTTACTGAAGTCGGTGTATAGCGCTTCAACGTGCTTGCCACTGTTCAACGGTTTAATAATGAAAGATACATATTCTAGAAGATTAGAGGTAGTTAAGCGAGTTATTATTATTATTATTATTATTATTATTATTATTATTATTATTATTATTATTATTATTATTATTATTATTATTATTATTATTATTATTATTATTATTATTGTTATTATTATTATTATTATTATTATTTTATTATTATTATTATAGAGACTTTTAGCCTTAAGTTGGTTCGTCTCTACAGGGAAAACTTATGATGAAGTAAAGGCGGAACGCAAAATTAAGTGCAAAAAGACGAAGAAGATCAAGAAGATAAAGCGGAAAATAGCAAAATGAAGAAGACGACACCGATGGAAATCCGGAGAAATCGTGAAGACATGGAAAAGGAAATCAAAGCAATGGAATTAAAGAAGGATGAAGAAAGAAGATGATGAAGAAGTAAAGAAAATAATTTGAAGTATGGTGAGATGAAAGAAGAAGATAGTGCATGAAGAAGAATACCATTAAGCAACAAATGATCAGAAGTGAAGAAAATATAAGAAGATGACGCAGCCAATTCAGCAAGATGAAGGAGACCCGTCAACAAAATATCAAGATGGCGGATAACAAGAAACGGACGAAGGCTACGAACAAAAACGAAGATGATGAAGAAAGAAGATGAAGAAAAGGTAGAAAAAGTAAAAGTGAAATTCATTGAGAAGAAGAAGTAAAAAAGATGCAATGTTATGATCAACGATGAACCAGAAGGAGACGAAACAAAGCTAAGTGCAATCAACCATCAACACTAACACTCACACCCACACATCATTACACAACATTGAATCAGACATGAATGCATCAATGGATGTAAAATGTATTAAGTAAATACAAAAAAAAAAAATTATTATTATTATTATTATTATTATTATTATTATTATTATTATTATTATTATTATTATTATTATTATTATTATTATTCTTGTACGAACACGTCTAGCCAACCGAGAGTGGTATGAACCCAAGCCGCATATTGTTTGGGATGTGAAACGGAAGGTGAAAGCTGGGGACCCCCCGAATACAGTGCGTCCCATCGTGCAGGAGTTGCTGGCTAACCGGTTTAGCCGTGCTTTGGCTATTTATACGGATGGTTCTAAATGCGAGAACATAGTTGGAGCAGGTGTATTTAGTAGCAGCATTCAGCAAGCAATAGGTCTTCCGTCACAATGTAGCGTTTTTTCGGCGGAGGCCTTTGCAATCAAGTCGGCCGTCATCGCTGCAAGAGCATCAACCGAATGTGTTATAATTCTGTCTGATTCGGCCAGCTGTCTTTCGACCATAGGGAGTGGTAGATCGCAGCATCCGTGGATCCAGGAAATCGAGCGCTTACTACGTGGACGGCCGATCCACCTTTGTTGGATCCCTGGTCATGCCGGAATTCGCGGTAACGAAGAAGCAGACCGTCTAGCCAATGAAGCACGAAACAGTCCACCAATCAACGTTGCCGTACCAAGAGTTGATTCCATCAAGAACATGAACCAAGTCTTTCGTCAGCTATGGGAAGCACGTTGGGCACAATTGACAGATGTGAAGCTGAAGGAGGTCAAAAGGGAAACGAAGAAGTGGATCGATCAGTACAGCTCTACCGATCAACGCATACTCACTCGTCTGCGCATTGGTCATACTAGGGTTACGCATGAATTTTTGCTGAAGAAAACAGCTCCGCCATCATGTGAATGCTGTGGGACCGTTGTTGACGTTCATCACATTATTCTGCACTGCAGAAAATTTGAAGCGGCCAGGACGAAATACGGAATCGATTCCACAAGCCTTTTTACGGCGTTACGCAACGATGATGATTATGAGAAGCGGTTGCTGAAGTTTCTGCATGAAACCAAACTTTATCGGAAGCTTTGAAGGGCGAAGATAGAATGGAAAGGAAAATGCAGGATATAGGAAGAAAACGAAGCGGAGGATGAAGAACAAGCAAGCGATGCAGAAGAAAAATGAAATCTGAATGGAAGAAGATGTCGGACAGGAAATGGAAGAAGATGCAGTGGAAGAATGTTACCGATGAATGTTGGAAGCAAATGAGTTCATGAAGAAGATGCTGAATGGAAATCGAAGAAGATAAAGTGAAAAAGGACGAAGATGAAGCAGGAAACGAAAGTACTACAGAAGACATGAATGATTATGAAGATGCAGAAGAATGAAGATAAATGTGATGCGCAAGGAAGGAACGGAGAAATCGAAAAATAATGTGGAAAAGATATATGGAAACTCATGAAGAATGAAGATGGTGAATATATATATAGAAGAAGTAAAGAAGAAATTTATGGAGAAGAAGTGTAAACCATGAGATGAGCATGCAGACGATGAACCAGGAAACGAGCAAACGATAAGAAAGCTAAGTGAATTTTGAATTGTATCGTAAACACTAACACTCACCCTCACATCACTCTGAACACACTCACACACTGTTTACACAAAAATCAATTCAACTGACATGAATGCATCCGCAGGATGTAAAATGTCAATAATAAACAACAACAACAACAACAAAAACTATTATTATTATTATTATTATTATTTTTATTATTATTATTATTATTATTATTATTATAATTATTATTATTATTATTATTATTATTATTTTATTATTATTATTATAGAGACTTTTAGCCTTAAGTTGGTTCGTCTCTACAGGGAAAATTGGTGTTAATATCTAAATAATAACTGCATTATTTTCTTGCGGACTAGTTTTGATTTTAACACAAATTGGCAATGTTTGAAAAATCATTGCTCTGGAATTTATCGATAAATTTTAAATCATACCTGAGCTATGATTTTTCAAACATTGCCAGTTTATCGTTACACATTTAACCGAAGGCTGCGTGTTCGGAGTGGACCAATGTACCCGTTTAGTTAAACCAGGATTAAGGCTTGAGCGGAGGTCAAGAAATTGACCTTAAGCCGCTTGATTACAGTAGACGTTAGCTAAGTGAAAAACCTTGAACTGAAAGAAATACTCAGTTAATGGATGCTTACCTGTCAAAATTTAAATTAAATTTGGTGACATGAACCGGATGAGCACGGATGTATTTTAAATATTTTGTATTATTTGATTTGACACATGATATGCATGAGGCCTCCCTTAGCTCAGTCGGTAAAGGCGCAGCTACAAAGCAAGACCATGATGGAGGTGGCTGGGTTCGATTCTCGGTTCGGTCTAGGAATTTTTCGGGTTTGGAAAATTTCTCGACTTCCCTGGGCATTTTTTTCCTCTGTTCGGTACCTAACACTACTGTGACCAGTAAATTGATCTATTGTAGTATATCCCGTGTCATTAGTTTAGTGCATGTCGTACTCCATCACTATTGAGAAATGATGAAGTATTCGATTTTTTTACAGTTGCCACTCTTGCATTTATCGCAAGGATCCGACTCTAATTGAAAGGTCCCGCTATTTATACCCTACGGAGTGTTGAAACACCCTCCAAAGGCGTGCCCCTTTGTCAGTCAAAATTGGATTCCTTAGCAACAAAATTAAGGTATGACACCGATAATGACCATGCATCAGAACCCTAGTCTTAACCACTTCAAACTAGGGAACAACGAATAGAAGATTAGGAATCCCAGAGATGAAGACTACTAACTCATTTTTTTCCTTGTTTCAAGATCATCCTCGGTAGACAAAGCCGAGTCTTGTCACTATCAACAAGGCATAAAAATCCTGTTCCCCTAGTTTGAAGTAGTCAGGACTAGGAATCGGTGGTAGATCTTACAGTAACGTACCACGAAAAGGTGATTTACCCACGTTACGGAGCATAGAAGTATGATTGGACTTGCCACGCAATAATATCAATGCAAAAATGGTACAGGCATCGAAAGCTCTCAATTGTGCAATTAATGGAATAATTATTTTCTTTCTATTTTTTTTTCAAACCAGTTTAGTATGCATACGAAGCATATAATTTAAAGTATTTCACTAAATACATATATAATATACTGAAGACATTTCTCTCATGTAGAAGAATTATAGGAAATCTGCAAAACTGATAGATTTAAAGCTTTGTTCAAAAACAAGGAATTTTTATAGAAGAAACCAGGAAAACCGGGAAAAACCAGGAATTTAAAATCAGAATTTCACTTGCCACCCTGCCACCATTCAAGTCTAAATTTGAAGAGATTTTGAAAAATTTAGTTTTATTATTTATGATCAAATCTAGCAGTTTTTATTAAACTGGAAAAATTATTATGTACAACTGGGAATTCAATTCTTCTTCACAGTTGATTTAAAGGCAGCTTTATGATCACTTTCTTGAGTTAGTGTATTTTCGCAAATATATTTTTATTCGACATATTTAACGTTATAACGTGTGTACGTGGACATTAATAATACCTCCACCAGTATGTGAAGTTCGGGAAAATCAGGAAAGTTTGACAATAATTGTTCGGGAAAATTGGCCTTGATTTTTTTTCGTTCCTAGGTACAACATTAACGATACTCTACGTGGTTACTCTAAGTTTATAAAATACATATACACTTAGTACTATTTTGTAACTATAATCTAAACCAAATGCCTTTAAGTAAAATTTGCCGTGGACTGAGCAAAATAAGCCGAATATTGTTGTTCTTATTAATCCATTCACTAGGTAAATGGTATTATCGTTACAGTTGAAAGCCAGAATAATCCACTAGCGACAATCGATTTTACTCTCGTTCTGTACGTTAAACATAGTGTCGGAAGTAGTGCGCTGTAATCTCACAATGATGCGCTATACAGTGCACTATTTCCGACATTATGTTCAACGTACAGAACGAGAGTAAAGTCGATTGTCGCATGTGGGTTATTCCGGTTTTCAATTGTACGGTTGGTAAAATTCGGGGTAGTTGGTAACACATTTTGTTTACATTATTTCATTCGAACTTACATGAATTCTTTCTTATTTTAGGTGGCGTTGCCCCGTTGGGAGGATATGTGTATGCACTAGGTAAGCGCGAGCCAATTTAGTTTAATATGATTGATTATTGGCGATGACGGCGACTCTGTAGCTATTTACTCCTATGGTAACATGGCGACATATCATAAGAAAACGTCAGACTGTGCCACAGTGGGACAGAAAAAAGACGATCATAACCTTTTACACACCTTTCCTGGTGTTTTAGTGTTTAGGTGTCTTCGAAGAAGTTTCATGAAATGTTGTTTTGCATCAACTTTTTGTAATCACAAGATAATATGTGTACATATGTACAGATATTGTTTAAAATCTAACACTGCTTCTTGATTCAAAATTCGTCCTACGAGTTTCAATTCAGTCCTAACGCATTAAAATGCCTTTATATTTTCTTCGTCCTACGGATAAACGTAGAAAAAAGGGAATTCTCTAGGAGCGCTTCTTTTGTTTTGAGAACAATAAGTGTAAATATTCATACAATGCTCTCTAAAAGAATTTACGTTGTAGCTAATGAACTAACGCATCGGAATAAACCTATTATTGATTTGTGCTTGGTGAAATCATTGATATTATTGATCTTTTCTGATCGATAGAACGGAAATGGGCGATTACGAGGAAGTAGTGCTCTACACTATAATGATATTTTGTACTTTTTTTCTTGATTTGTTTTCTGTCGATCTTGTTTTCCATGCTGAGCACCAATACTACAGACGCCAGGGAGGCAGTTCCCACACCTGGACCCTACTTATCGACCCATCAACTCATGAACCGAAGACCAACGGCTTTACTTCCCTACTTCCGGAAGGAAGGCGTGATCAGAGATGATATGCCTCAGAACATCCCGGCGGCGCCGACTGGGATTGAACCCAGGCCTGCTGGGGTGTGAGGTTATCACGCTTACCACTATACCACCGGCGCCGCTATATGATACACATAAAACATGTCAAATTCGCCCTCAGGTAGTGAAAATCAGCGATTTTACGACTTGCGAGCGCTCACTCTGAGTGAACGCTCACGAATCATAAAACCTTTTTTTTTGTAAACTTTTGAAATATCCCAAGAAATAATTTCTAATCCCAACAGCTCTTCTTAAAATTACCATAGAGCTGATTAGGAGCAATATCGAACATTTATGGAATATAACTTTGATCCTAACATTCCTTTGCAAACCAAAGATGAAATTAATTATGCTCTTGAATCTCTGACTACTTCTATAGTTGAAGCAAGAGCTGCCTCAATACCAAAATGCGAGGTTAAATTCGATTCAATTATAATAGACAACGATCTTCAGCTCTTGATCCGTCTTAAAAATGTCCGTAGGAGACAATATCAAAGAACACGCGATCCTGCCATGAAGGTTATCTGACGGGATTTGCAAAAACAAATTAAAAAGCGATTCTCTGCCCTGAGGAACAAAACTTTTGAAAATAATATTTCTAAATTAGACCCGAATTCCAAAACCCCCCAAATTTTGAAAAAACCTCAAAAGCCTATTCCAGCGCTTAAAGAAGGTGGTAAAATTTTGATCACAAATTCGGAAAAAGCAAAGAAACTTGCTAAGCAATTCGAGAATCAGGTTGCTCTGGATTATCTGAATATTTTCTCTCGGGAAAATATTTTTGATGATTTGAACAAAGTAATATCTATAACCAAAAAGTTTCATAATATGAAAGCTCCAGGTGATGATGGAATTTTCTATATCCTCATCAAAAAACTCCCAGAGAGTACCTTGTCTTTCTTGGTAAAATTATTTAACATATGTTTCCATTTGGCATACTTTCCTGATAAACGTAAAAATGCAAAAAATGTTCCAATTTTCAAGCCGGATAAAAATCCAGCCGAAGCTTCTAGCTACCGTCCTATAAGTTTGCTTTCTTTAATAAGTAAACTTTTTGAAAAGATAATTTTAAATAGAATGATGCTTCAAATCAATACGAACTCAATTTTTGCAGATGAGCAGTTTGGATTTCGCCATGAGCATTCAACTACTCATCAACTCTTAAGAGTTACCAATTTAATTCGTTCAAACAAATCTGAAGGCTTCTCAACTGGAGTTGCTCTTCTAGACATAGAAAAAGCATTCGACAGCAATAAAACAGCAAAAAAAGGTTATCTTCCATTTAATTCCTCTTAATTAATTTTTGTATCCATCTTATCTTTATCTTATCTTTCTTCATTAAAGAGACTTTCAGCCATCGGCTGGTTCATCTCTGGCAACCCCAGAAGGGGGGTGCCCTTTGGTATCCATGACAGATCCGTATTTCGACTACAATGTGCAGTCTTCATCAGTGTCATTCCAACTAAAGAAGAACCTACCTCACTAATAAAAACCAAAGATTTAAGTAAACTAAAGGAGAAAAATCTAAACAACTCTTTAATGATGGCTACCAAGCCTTTGGGATTTTCCTTAAATCTTTGGTTTTTTATTAGTTAGGTAGGTTCCTATTCAACACATTGTAGTTTCATTTTTATATCTGTGATCTTGACCAGGCATGGCAAATCATTTACATTCATTTCGTGCATTCATTTACATTCATTTGCCTCTAACCTTTTTCATTAACAGAATTAATTGAAATGATGTATGACACTTTTGTAGGTTTTGATATTAACTACAACTTTTGTCGATAACTCAAATCTGTACCTCTTATACATGATGAACCGGGGCGAACAGAACTTACCTATGTTTTTCAGTGAATGTAAATTACATTCACTGAAAAATAGTAACAAGTTCTGCCCGCTCTAGTTCGTCATGCATAAGAGGTACAGATTTGAGTTATCGACAAAAGTTGTAGTTAATATCAAAACCTACAAAGGTGGCATACATCATTTAACGGAATTCTGTTGATGGAAAAAGTTAGAGGCAAATGAATGTAAATGAATGCACGAAATGAATGTAAATGATTTGCCATGCCTGATCTTGACTTCTTTACCTAGGGATGAGTACTTAAGGAGGTTAGATTTTGATAAGTTCTTTAGTGGGAATGACACTGATGAAGACTGCACATTGTAATCGAAATACGTATCTGTCATGGATACCAAAATTAATTAAGTGGAATTAAATGGAAGATAACCTTTGTTTTGCTGTTTTATTTAAGTATTCCGCTATCAACCCTATTTCATTACTTCAACATTCGACAGTGTTTGGCATGAAGGTTTGACACACTTCACCACGAACCACCTTTGAGTTCGGACGCGCGTTCGCAGCGTTCTTGTATATATTTTACCACTCAAACTTTATTTTATTTTTCATACCTTTTAATAACCGACCCGTGCGCGAGCCTCGCGTTAGCATTTTCAAGTAGCAAATTTTTACCTTTTTTATCACCCTTGCAATGAAGTACGGTATCGTGAATTGCGTGCAAAATGACAATCGTTTCCTATGGCGCTGCCATGGTGCCTGCAATCGGACTTTCCACGCAGCTTGCGTAGGCGCACAGCGGAATCATGGAGAAATTTTGCGGACCTTCATGCTGCCTCTTTGCCAAGACTGTCAGGAAAAGTTCACAGCTGAACTTAACATGAAAGAACTGTCCAAGTCTTTCCAAAATATCACGGAAAACATCGGACATACATTGGCAGCAAACCACAAACTCCTCATGAATTTCAAAAGCCTAAGCGCCACTCATGACGAAACGCTCGACCACATTGAGAAAATGCTTGTCGACGTAAAACAAACCATTTCCAACCTCGCCAGCAGCAGCAAGACTAGTTCCACTGAAATAAAAAGTAAACTGTCAGCACTTTTGGACACACCTCCAGCAGACGCCTGTATCGCTGTAAAAAAGGCGTCAACTCGGCAGCAACAGCAGCAGTAGAAGCCATCACATCAACAACAACAGCAACAGTGCACTCAATTGACCTAATTCCGCAATTGATTACGGAAATTAAGAACGACTTAGCGGACTCAAATGCTATTCTAGCTTCCGATGTAAAAGCACATATGGAAGAAATGGCAAAAACCTTTTCTGCAGCAGTACATACTTGCAATCCAATTGCATGTAACAACATAGAAATTGAACTGCAGAACGTCGGTAACGAGCTGGCGAATGCTAGGAAATAAAAAAATATGGAAACGCGACTGGACTGCATTTGACACCAAACAGCGTTCCCGTCGCTTTCAGGAAAAAGAAAAGGAAAAAGCCAGACGTAGGCGAAAGCAACGAAAGGAACATCACCAGGAAAATTCATATGAGTACAACAACAAGAACAAAACATACAACTACAACAATAACAACAACAGCAATGATAACACCAACAACAACAACAACCACAACAACAAAAACAACAACAGCAACAACAATCATATCATAAAAACAAGAACGACGACACTTATTAACTCCACACATGCACATACGGCATTACCTCTGGACAAAGAGCTTTTGGCTGCTGCACGTATACAATTTTCTCGTCCACCAAGCAAAGACAATGGACTAAAATTTATTAACTTCGAAAAAGGGGAAACTATTCACCCTTATCGCTCCGAAAAGCCAACCGGACCTGAACACCCTCCAATCCTGGACCCAATGCGTCCGCCTATAGTCAGACTCACGGAACAGTCTGCAATTGGCGACCGACGCTTTTTGAAGGCACGGCTGTGGGACCCCAAAGTTATGGACATTGTGCGGACTTATCTTTCATAGTTGCACTACCAGCCACCTTCAGTATGCATTCGCGGAATCACTAAAACTAGTGCAACTTTAATGCTGGCAGCAGAAGGACTACCAACGGAAACAGCTCTTTTACGCAAAATTTTCCTGGACGTTCACGAAGAACTTGGAATTCCACGCACCGACGCTTTGGCAGACCTGAATTCACACCGCGCGTTCCTACTTAGTGAACGCACACAACGACTGCAGCAAACTAGGGAGGCCCCACGCAATTTTTACAGTCCTTCAAATTTTCAACGGCACTGACGCACTCTACTAAAGGAAGTAACGACGACTATTCCCATGCAAGGGAATTATTATCGAATGACGACACTCTACATGAGGTAGACCCTGCTAATGTAAGTAATACCGACCCTACAACAATCTCTT